GGGGGAGACCTGCAAAAGGTTAAGGAATATGATCATACTCCTCATTTAGAATTCTTCAATTTTTTCAAAAAATGTGACAGCTTCCCGACAGATAAGCCGAGAGTCATGATGACTCATGTTCCCGTGGATATCCTACCAAAAGAAGTGTTTGAGGGTAAAGGAAAGGTGAGCCGGCCATCGTCTTTATAAAGTCGCGTTTACACTTGCTGAGTCTCCTACTTTGAAGTGCGTATGCGTAATTACGTGACGGCGTAGTAAAAAAAATTGCTAATTTACATACGTCATAATTTAATAGTTCAATCAAGGACTTATAACTGTTACTTGTAACAGTTATAAGTCCTTGGTTCAATGTCATTATCAACAATATAAACGAAATTAGCTTCATTGCAGCCGTTCAGTCAATAATAAAGCGAGATCATTATTTCATGTTATTATGAATAGGCCTATTCTCATTATTTATCGATGTAGGTTGTGTACGTTGGGCGAAATCCAAAAGATACGGCAGTTTCCTTATGGCATTTTATAAAAGAGCGACGATTCCTGGAGGAGTATGAGAAATGGGATAACTTTCTAGCAGCATATTTAAAACCTGACAGTGAGTAGAACGCAGTATATAATATTTCATGTTGTTAAGACCAGTAATAATATTCATATATTTGACCGTAAATGTTTTAGTAAAATAATATTTCTATTATCAAAATCATTACCATTATAGGACTATCACCATTACTATCAGTCATAATTTTCGTCATCGTCGTAATTATTATAATCATTATGGTAATCATTATCATTATCGTCATTACTGTATAGTCTTCAATATTGACATCATTATTATTATCGTCATCATTATCATTATTGTCATCGGTACCAGAGCTCCTAATATTTACATTTTTGCTGGCATAAATAAATGTTCCTTTATCTATTCATCTTATTCAAGAAGGTAGAAATAACAAAATCAACGACACAAAAGCATAAACAATTAGCAGAATGAAACTAACAGTCAAACGGCAACAAAAACACACAAAAATAAAAAAGAATATATTAAATAGTTCGATTAAGATAATATTTAAAAAATTTTGAAAATGGGAATAAATAGACACTTATTTCTAAAAATTAAAACTTTTACAGTGAAGATGATCATGGAAAATGGAAGCCGAACATGTGATCTGTTATTATTCTGTTCAAAATCATTTCCGTTTCCCTATGGAAAAAGTAGAGATTAGTTTCATCATTATTTCAGTGATGTGTGGATCTTGGATTGATTTCAACCTGAAGCTTAAATTTGGGGGAAAAAATGCTTGAGCACATGATCTGTTATTCATCTTCATATTCCTTATGACGAAAATATAGTACTGTAGATTGGTTTCATCATTATTTCAGTGATGTATGGATCTTGGTTTGATCACAACTTGAAATACTATGAACACCGTGATGCGAAGAATTTCTTGTTCCTAACTTACGAAGAAATGAAGCTCGTAAGTATGCGACATACCGGTATTATTACTGGTAGTTGCTAAATACAACGGGTAGCCGAGGGGGCGTGGCTTTGTATGTTGACATCATGCATCCAGCTATAGTTCATCTATCTCCTCTGCAAAGAGTGGGCCCCATGTCTGTAATCACACAGCATAATTTAAAATTACAACTTTCAGGGGCGGATTTAGGGGGGG